GCGCGCTGATTTCTCACTTACTAGATCTATATTCTTTTGGTTGTGGTGTAGGAGCTTCTGATTTGGGCCCTTCTGAAAGAAAAAGACAAAGGGGCATAAATAAGACAGTGGGCAAATCAAAGAAATCGTGGCAGGGTAGCCTCTCTGCATTTAGCATGGAATTGTCCTGTTCCAATTCTTTAAACAGATTTACGGGTAACGTTTGGGATTCTTCTGACTTATCTGGAACAAAAAAGTTCCTTTTATGCACAGAGGAAACAAAGTCCAAAAAGTGCTCCCCTCCCTCTGAATGATGACTTCTGTGAATTCCCTCTTCCTCCAACATCCCCCATGCAATCTCAGGAAGCATCTAGATTCTTCTGGCAGCAAATTTTTAACTCTCACTTTCAACAGCCTGCACTCCACCCATGGCTATTTACAACCCACCTGCATCTTCCATAGCTGACATTTGTCTATGGAGAGTCTCAGTCATCCAGGTCATGGTTGTCCCAAAGGTGCTTTTTCAAAAGGCAACTGGACTATCTTGGTTTTTCCTTGAAGAGGTTTCGCTTCTCAACTAAGAAGCTTCCTCAGTCACAACTGAAGAAGCTTCTTGGATGAGAGGTGAAACGTCTTCAAGGAAAAACAAGAAAGTCCAGTTGCCTTTTGAAAAAGCACCTTTAGGACAGCTGACATTTCTTTTATTTCTCAGAATAACACTAATTTAACAGAACTAAGCTTTATTGATACTACCTTTAGTTAACTTTAGATCTCATCTTGAAGTTTGTTTATTCATGTCAGAAGCATCACAATTAAAACAAGGCATACTATATGACATAACGTTTAAAATATAAAATACAGGATTTAAAATATGTATAAGTTAAACAGATCTTGCCCAGAAACTAGCAACATTATTCTGAAGTTCATGGTAGCGCACAACAGTCCATCTAGAAATTTTACTCTACTGCTACTACTCTTTGCTACCCCAGAGGCAGGGAAGGATTTGATTGCACTATTGCAGAGCTCCCCAACCTTTTGGATACCAGGGACCGGTTCCATGGAGAGAGGGTTTTCCGCGGACCGGAGGGGGTGGTGGTTTTGTGTGCTGCCTGCATCCCGTGGATAGGGCTTTGCTTGTTTGTGCAGACCGGTTGCTGGCATGCCGCAGCCCGGTACTGGTCCATGGACCAGTGGTTGGGGACCCCTGCACTATTGGGCTGGTTGGTATCCTAGCCTGGGAACCTTTTATTCCAATGGCCAAAACTAACATTTCTACATAGTGTCTAAAGTTACGTGGGGGCTCCAGAACCACATTCATAGATCACTTTAAGCTGGTATGAAGTGAGGATGTGTTTTTCAGAACTACTCTGTACTATGTATGTATACCCACCCCAGTCTTCTCCCCAGGTGAAATATGGGAACCCAAGAGCCATGACCTTATTGAAAGATAGGAGCCAAGTGCTCTCATCCCAAGGCAAAAAAGGAATTTAGCGCCAATTCAAAGTAATGTTATATAGTTAAATGCTGTAGAAAGACCATAGCTACCTTGTCCACTTGCAAACATGGTTCTCCATGATAAACAATAGTTTAGCAATATAGGTGGTCCTCAACTTCTGACTACAACTGAGCCCAACATTTCTGTTGCCAAATGAGACATTTGTTAAGTGAGTTTTGCCCCGTTTTACGACCTTTCTTGCCAGTCGTTAAGTGAATCACTGCAGCTGTTGAGATGTAACATGGTTAACGAAATTGGGTTTCCCCATTGACTTTGCTCGTCAGAAGGTCGCAAAAGGTGATCACATGGCCCCAGGACACTGCAACCGTCATAAATATGAGTCAGTTGCCAAGCGTCTGAATTTTGATCGCATGACCATGGGGATGCTGCAATGGTTGAAAGTGTGAAAAATGGTCATAAGTTACTTTTTTCAATGTCATTGTACTCTGAATGGTCACTATAGGAACCGTTGTAAGTCGAGGACTATCTGTACTATCTGACAAATCTTATTAACTAAAGTCAGTTAATTTTTAACATTCCAATAGATTAGCAATACAGCTGGAATAAAATGTGCAAACCGTGTGTGTGTGGCTTTTTTTGTCATAGAACACCCAGAACGGACTTCCGGCACCTTTTTTGGATGGAACCTTGTAGGGTAGGCAAGGCGGGTTGTTTGACGTGAGTTCCGGCACCTTTTTTTTTTTTTTTTTTTTTTACAAAAAAAGCACTGTGTATATATATATTCACATACGGTTTGCATATTATATATAGCAGTAAGTAAATGAATAAATAAAAGCACCTTTTTTTTTCTGTTCCAGAGGTACACCCAAAAATCGTTTTGTAAGTTCTTTGAGGTTAAAGGCTTTCTGATAAACAGTGCCTAGCAGGTTTTGATCCAACTCTATTCTGGGAACAAACACATCAGTGAAGGATACCTCCCGCAGTTTTGTTGCTCTCTGAAATAAAGTATTAAGATATTGTGATAATCTGAACCAACAAAGAGCTCCTTCCACAGTGCTCGACGCATTATATAGTGGAGTATTTATTAAATGACTAAACATACATCCTGCATTTTCTTTTTTTAAACAGACCCCAGGCAGGGAAAGGCATGCCTCTCTCAAATGTCAGTATTTATTAATTCTAGGAGTTGAAAACTAACAACACCCAGGGAGCATCAGGTTGGGTGGGTTAAGCTAGGACTGCTACCATTATGTATTCTTAGTTTAAAGACACTAGAACAGTGGTTCTCAACCTGTGGGTCAGGACACCATTTGGGGTCAATCGACCATTTCATGGGGGTCGCCAAGCAAGGCTGTCCACCATTTTTTTTGTCTGCCATTTTTTCCCCCTTTTCCGGCGGGTGTCTTACCTCCCTTGGGCTGGGCCAGCTGGTGGTCGGCCTGCTCCGTCTCTGCCGCTTGCCAGCTATGCCTCGGCTGGCGCAGGGGGCGGAACCATGCATGCACGGCGCTCCCGGGCAGGGAAAGTCCTCGACTTATGACTGGTTGGGTAGTCCTCGACTTACGACCAGTTTAGTCCTTGACTTACGACCGGTTTAGTCCTCGACTTACGACCAGTTTAGTCCTCGACTTACGACCGGTTGGGGTCGTGGCATTAAAAAGGTTGAAAACCACTGCACTAGAACAAGCATCCCCTCTCTGTGCAATTTTCTGTGCAACTCTTTGAATTATCAGCAAAGGGGGAATTTTGAGAGTCCAACCCATACATCTGTAGGACAAGCAGCTCAGGAAAGATTTCACTGGAGAAAGTGCCTCCCTAATTGGAGAAATTAGGGAGTCCTTTAATCACTGTTCAGAAGAGTTTCTCCCAACTGAACATTACCTTTAAAAATGTGATGTCATCCATCTCCGTCAAGGTCATTTCAATTTCATCTCTCTCCTTCTGGATTTCATTCTTCTTCTTACCCAGGACTGTATGGACGTATTCAAATTTATCGAGGACTCTTTTTTCTTCTGCTTTGATTGTCTTCCAAGAATCCTTTTCTTCTTCATGAATTAAGGCTACTATTTCTAGGAATTCTGATTTCAGCAATTCCAGCTTCCGACTAGTGGTATTCTGTAGGGGCAATATCATCAAAATAAAACATGATTTGGAAATGAAGTAATGCAACATTACTTATTAGGAGGCTGAAAAATGGAGAAGTTGGGAGACCTTTGGAGGAAGAACTGGTGGACTGAATATGGAGCTGACAACCACAACTAAGAATAAACAGTTGGTGAACAGCTGCCCAGAGTCACCTGACAGTGAGATGGGCGGCATATAAATATAAATAAATGGGTGGCATATAAATATACATAAAAATAAAATAGACCAGCTCTATGAACCTCTTCAAACAAAGAGAGGATGGTAGATCGCCCAATATTGCTTTCAGTTACTCCTCGTGAGGAGACCACAAGGCAGTAGTCTTCTATAGGCTTTGAGCACAGGGAGATGAGGGAATAGCCATCTTGCTCAAACTATAGTTGGCATCTTTAAAGTACTTCCTTTTCTAATCATATTCAGAAATTGCTTAACTACTTTTCAGCTATTAGAAATGTTTGAATTGACAAGTCTGAAAACATGAGCAATTCTGTTTCCAGTCCTTAAGTAAACCAAATTTTAATTACAAGATTAAGAAAAGCAGGATAAAAATCTAATAAATAAATAAAATAAACTTTAAAAAAATGCATTGAACAGCAAAAAGCTAACTAAGACTTTGACATTAGAAAGTTATAAACAGCTTAAGGGTCCAGATAGATTTGAAATAAGATTTGGGAATTATAAAGAATCCTTCCAGTGGAGTCTTTGCACTTGTTTTAAGTAATTTAAAAAATTAGACAGCAGAGAGAACTAAAGATTTTAATTAAAACAGAATACATAAACTTGATTAGCAGCTACAAAACAAAGCAAAATATTATAACACTGGAAATACAGAAGAATATTTTTGAAAAATGGAACCAGAAGTTAATATCAACAGCAACAATGGAGAAATTTACTTCTATCGCTAGGCTGTGTCCAAAAGTTGTTTTGGAAGAAATGGCAAAAGAGGAAGACGTTTTCTCTGACAAGAGTGAGACAGAATTGACTAAAAGTAGATCTATAAATGACATGGCAAAAGATGTCTCACTGGACATATAAATCAGTTAATGCTTTAAAAATCAAAAAAGGATTACAAATAATAAGCCAACCTGCATAATTCACATATATTGGATTTACAAAAGAGATTTGTTACAGCTTGGATGAATCTTATGAGAAGGGGCAAAAAAATAAATTAAAAGAAATCAAGTTCTACAACATTACGTGACTGGATGAAAGATTAAGATTGTTAGATCTTGTAAAAGGAAGAAGTTGGTTTATTGGATAGGATGAATTAAATATAGGATGAACTGAATCTTCCTCAGCAAATGACTATATCTGGCTGATCTAGAAAGTTAAGTGGAATAGATTAGGGCAGGGGTAGGCAACCTTGGCTCTTTTATGACTCGTGGACTTCAACTTCCAGAATTCCTGAGCCAGCATGGCTCAGCTTGGAAACCTCTCCCTTTCCCCTCAGCATGGCTGGCTCAGGAATTCTGGGAGTTGAAGTCCACGAGTCATAAAAAAGCCAAGATTGCCTACCCCTGGGATAGGGTTAGCATTTGAAAGTGAAGTCACCAGAAACTCTGGAGTTGTTGACTAGACGGCAAAGTTGAAACAAACATTCCAAGGAAAGGCAAGGGCAGACTAATTCTTCACCAGGTGAGAAACCTACATACAGGTAGTCCTCGACTTACAACAGTTCATTTAGTGACCATTCAAAAATTGAAACGGCACTGAAAAAAGTGACTTATGATCAGTTTTCACACTTACGACTGTTGTAGCATCCCCATGGTCATGTGATCAAAGATCAGACCTTTGGCAATTGACTCATATTTATGGTGGTAATAGTGTCCCGGAATCATGTGATCCCCTTTTGCAACCTTCAGATTCACTTAACATCATTTTGACTAATTTAACAACTACTGTGAATCACTTAACAACTGTGGCAAGAAGGGTCGTAAAATGGGGCAAACTCACTTAACAACAGAAATTTTGGGCTCAATTGTGGCTGTAAGTCGAGGGCTACCGATAAGTGTGTACATGAAATCATGAGTCAATTCAAAGGAGGCATTTTTTTAATAGTACAACTCAGTCTTAAAATGTTTCAAAAGAATTGTAACTTGGTTTTTTTTCCTATTTGTCTCCCAGCTCCCTAACTCATATATTACAAAATTCAAGTAAATGGTGACAGCAGAAGGCAATATTTGAAATAGCAACCTCTCTCTCTCTCTCTCTCTCTCTCACACACACACACACACACACAATATCTCACTAAGCACAATGCATAACTCCAAAGTGGGGGTCTCTATATCTTGAAACCAGGGCAGCCCCCTTGCATTACCACCTCCTGATGGCAAAGAGAAGTGAGCTTCCGTTTAAAAAAGAATTCTTTCCTTACGCTGAGTTGCTTTTGTTGAGCTCGTACTTGTTCCAAGGACTTAGCAGTCTTGTCACTGAGGGCACAGAGTTCTGCTAATCTCTTCTTCAGCTGTAACTATAAGGGAACAAAAAAGTCTCCTTTAGATTAAAAACAACATCCGTGCCAGCTACTAAGGAAACAAAACCACTGGTAGGGGATATAGATTTGCTTCAGGATTCTGATTAAAAGGGACACATCTGCAGTCACAACTTCAAAAAAAATGAGTTTTTTTTTTAAACGAGGTTTTTAATGTTGTGCAGAGTGGGGGGGAAATGGCGGACCAAAGATGGAGGTGACAACTATGTAGATAAATATGGTTTCAATCCGGCCAAAGCCAGTACACAAAAAAACAATCAGAATGAAATAAAATAGCAATACCAACGGTGTAAAAGTCTTTTTTAAAACATAAAATAAGTTGTTATCAATCCAGCTTTGGAGGTTTAGGGATGTTAGCTACTGAAACCCATCACTTAGCAACACATGACAGAAGCTACCTTATTTGAAGGATGGTGGTTGACATAAAATTCAGTGACTTGGAGCATGTAGGAAAAAGGGAAATATATGCATCCTTTGGCTGTTAAGGGAAAATTGAGCAACACAGAGTAACAGATGCCATATAGCAGTGATGGCGAACCTTTTAGAGACTGAGTGCCCAAACTGCAACCCAAAACCACTTATGTATCGCCGGGTGCCGGGTGAGCATGGCCTGCTGGGTGGGCGTGGCTACAGTGATCATGGCAGATGGCAGATGAGTGGGCGTGGCCAGGGTGGGCATGGCCAGCTCGATGTTGTTCCTGGGGAAGGATGCCTGTTGGGGGCTGAGCAGGGTTGGGGGAGATCCAGGGGGTCTCTGGTGGGTGGAGAAGTGGGCAGGAGACTCGTCCTGCGGGGTGAGGTGAGTCAAGGCGAGGCAGGGTGGGGTGCCATTGTCGCAGGGGAAGGCGAGGCAGGGGCCGGGGCGGCTTCTGCCTGACACCATTGGCCCCCACACACAGAGGCCAGCAAGCACATGGGTGGTGGGATGCATCCGGCCACGTGGGACCTTGGCAAATTAGCGGGCGGCTGGTTGAAGAGGATGGTTGCCATCTCTGGGGCATGGCGCACGTGCCCACAGAGAGGGCTCTGAGTGCCGCCTCTGGCACGCGTGCCATAAGTTCGCCACCACTGCCATATAGCATATATGGGAGCATATATGGCAGTGGTTTTGAAACTATTTGACCCTATTACCTCTTTTTCTGGTCTTGCATGTCAACCCTCCCGCCCCAAAATCCAAACCCACATTATTTTACACAAGTATTAATTTTTATTATGGTTGCTAGGAGGATCAGCCAGCTGTTTAGACTGGATATGGCATTTTTACTCACCTACTGAGTCCTTCCCAAGGACCTGGGATAGGCAGGTTGTTTGATGGTGTTAAAGGTATCATTACTATTTATTTCAGCAACAACAGCAGCCCCATACTGGATCTTTGGCTCACCAATAAGTGATTACAAATTGCTCTGTTACCCTAGGGCAGGGGTAGGCAGCCTTGGCTCTTTTATGACTCGTGGACTTCAACTCCCAGAATTCCTGAGCCAGCCATGGCTCAGGAATTCTGGGAGTCGAAGTCCATGGGTCATAAAAGAGCCAAGGTTGCCTACCCCTGCCCTAGGGTCTGCCCAAATTACCTCCCCCCCTTGGAGATAATTACTCCCAGTTTAAGAACCACTGCTATGGGGGCAAATTCTGATATAGACCTACTGAAGGTGGAATAGAACAGAAGGTAGAATAGGCTGAACCTGATTGGAATGAAGAAATGAGTAACAGGATGCAATAGCCAATTGCTATCTGGCACGTTCCACTTGTTTGTTAAATGGATCTGGGATCAGGCTAATCTCATTTTGGTATCGTATATCTAAAAGCCGTTCCCTAATACTTTTCTTAACCTGGATGCTTGTAATCATCAGATAAGTGGGGGATTATTTTGGAACAATGTCCTCACATTTCAAGCAGACTTGGAACTTTGAGGGAAAATGTCCACTTAATACATAGGGCTCTTCGCTCAGCCCCTACTACTGGAAAATATATATATCCACAGGTCTCACTGGTAAAAAGAGATCCATGGATGTACAGAGAACACTGTTCTACTCTATCCTGCAGGCAAATTGTGAAAGAACTGAAACAGACAAAGGTCATGTGGACAATTCTCCACTGTTGAAGAACTGCTATCAGTGGGGCTGCCTTTGAATACTTGTCCATCATAAATAAGCTGATCAGATTGCAAAGAAAAACTCAAATGCTGAGCATTCCAAAACATAGTTCTCAACATAAAACAAGACCTATGAAGACATGACAGCACTGTTCCAATATTTGAGGGGCTGCCACAAAGAAGGGGGGGGGGTCAAATTATTATCTAAAGCACCAGAAGGCAAGATAAAAAACAATGAATGGAAACTAATCAAGGGGAGAAGCAACCTGGAATTAAGGAGAAACTTCCTATCAGTGAGGATAATTAACTAGTGGAACAGCTTGCCTTCAGAAGTAGTAAGGGCTTAATCACTGGAGGCTTTTAAAAAGAGACTGGACAGCCCTTTGTCTGAAATGGTATCCCCTGTTTGTGCAGGGGGTTGGACTAGAACAGGGCTTTTCAACCTTTTCACCCATTGTACCACTTTTAGGATATGGCAACATCCAAGTACCACCAGCAAGGTGTGAAAAACTTTATGACCCCCCCAAAAAGTGATAAAAGTACAGGTAGTCCTCGACTTACAACAGTTCGCTTAGTGACTGTTCGAAGTTACAATGGCACTGAAAAAAGTCCCCCCCAAGCCACAGCCGAGCAAGACACCTGCCTGCCCACCCGGCGGTGCTCTTCCTCCTGTCCTGTCCGAGGTTTTCATTGTTGTGAGCATTTCTGTTGAGGATTGGCAGTGGGGATGGGGTGGGGGGTGTTTGGTTTTTATTCCCCCCCGTCTGTTGGGTGGTTTCAGCAGATTTTGGCTACTTCACATGACCCTGGGACACTGTGACTGTCATAAATATGAATCAGTTGCCAAGCATTTGAATGTAAATCACAAGACCCTGGAGATGCTGCAACATTCCAGCTGATCGGCGCTTCTTCTGGGCTCAGCAGAAGTGCCAGGATCAGTGCTGCTTTCCAGCTGATCGGCGCTTCTTCAAGGCTCAGCAGAAGCGCCAGGATCAGCGCCGAGCTCCAGCTGGAGATTGGCGCTGATCCTGGCGCTTCCACTGAGCCCTGACAACCCTGCAGCTCCAGCCAACTCTCGCTCAGGCTTGTGCGGTGCTGTCACCGGTTCAGCTCATTTTCCTTCCCCGCTATCACGTACCACCTGCCAGGTGCCAATGTACCACAGGTGGTACCCGTACCACTGTTGAAAAGCCCTGGAAGACCTCCAAGGTCCCTTTCAACTGTTATTCTGTTATCTTTATAAATTCAAGAAACATTTAGCAATAGAAGCTGCAGCAAAAGCATTTGCTCTCATCCTATACAAAACATAGCATGAAACTGCTTCTCACTGACATACACGTATCAGAGAGAAACATAGTCACTTTCTTCCCCTGTGCATATTGATCTATATTTCATAACTGGCTGTAAGAGTCAAAGGCTAAGGTTTTCTATACAGAGAGAGAGTTTTTGTCAGATTCATCTTCCACAAGATTCCTATAGCAGAGCAAGAAAACACAAACCTTCCCTACTCAGGGTTTTTCTCCCCCAAACTTAGGTTTTTACATTCTTTTAAAGATTAAGTATGGATTTAAAGTCATTGAAAGTTTTTGTGAACACAGCGGGATACAAAGCCAATAAACAAGTCTGACCGTTCAAAGTTAGAATGGCATCAAAGTGACATGACCATTTTTCACACTTATGACTATTGCAGAATCTCCATGGTCACATGATCAAAATTCAGATGCTTGGCAACTGACATGTATTTGTGACACTTGCAGTGGTTCATATTTATGACGATTGCGATCACCTTTTGCGACCTTCTGGCAAGCAAAGTCAATGGGGAATCCAGATTCACTTAACAACCATGTTATTAACTTAACAAATGCAAGGATCTACTGAACAACTGTGCAAAAAAAATTGTAAAATGGGGCAAAGCTCACTTAATGGATGGAAACTAATCAAGGAGAGAAGCAACCTAGAAT